CCCCAAAACCCCAAAACCCCAAAACCCCAAAACCCCAAAACCCCAAAACCCCTTCTACACTAAATTAAACTGAACCAGATCTTATTAATTTTGAGTAATATAATTCTGGAACTGCACCATCATTTCAGGGTCGTCTCCTAGTACCTGAGAGAATCTTCTTGTGAGATAGTCTTTATGAGGAGTAGGCTCGGAATCTGGCTCTAGTGCTTTGGAGACAGATTTAGGGTCAAGAACACAACTCTTGGTGATCTGGTCGATTATTGTAACCTCTTCATCTGAGTTATCAGGGCTCTTTAATGGAGAGTCTTCATCATCAGTGTCGTCCTCTTCGTCAAGGGTTACCTTCCTTTCTTCCTTAGGTCCTATAAGTTACTCAGGTTAATATGAATAGTTTCTTAAAAATTTATGAATCTTTGGGAAAAGAGCTTACTGTAGTTAAGGTTTTCTTCAAATTGAACCTTCTTTAATATTTTCTTGGTGCATTCACCATGCTCAAGAGCCTGTTGAGAAGAATCTGCCTTCTCTTCTTCACGCTGGAGTTTTGAAGGGGAGCTTTCTTTCTTCCAAGGCTTGAGTGATTTCAGTCCACTCTTACTCTTCTGATTAGTCTTAAGGTTAACTTTCTTCTTCAGGATGCCGTCGATCTGCTTGAAGGTCCTGACTATATCTCTTTTATATGACTTCGTAGCGAATTCAACGTAGAATTTGTACAGAGTCTTGTCTGCTTTCTCCCTCTCTATTGCTAGCAGGGTTGCTTCATTATGCTCCTGACCTTCTATACGGAGAAATTTTAGAATTTCTACTGTGTGGAAAAGATACATCTTGGAATTAATGCATAAAAATCCTCAGGGAAATCTGAGTGCTTACCTTTGTGAGCTTTCCTGAGCTTGTCAGCCTTCTTGGTGGAATTAAAGTATGCCTTGGAGACTCCTTTGACTGATTTCTTGTTCTCAGCTTTCGTTTTCTTCAGGGTTCCTCCAAACTCCTTCAGCTTCTTGTGCATGTCATGGCTGAGAGTATTGCAGAGGTTATGCATAGTATCCTTCAAAGACTCCACATAATTAAAAAGGATCTCCTCAGACTGATTCTGGATGGCCAAGGTGTCACTCACGTCTGGTTGCTTTATATGTATCTTAATGTCCTTTTGGATTTTGATCAGGCTAGTAACTCATCCTTTGAATACTTTTCCAAGTCTCTAGAGGGATAAGCTGGTTGTCTTACCTTCATAATGGCTTTGTTATGTCTCAGTTTGGCATGAGCATCTCCAAATTCAGCCAAAGTTTCCTTGTAGTTTCTTGCTAGTCTTTCTAAACTCATTTCTTTAATATTATTAATTCTTACTAAATTCTCTGTTTAAGTCTCTGAGATGGGGTTTTGGGGTTTTGGGGTTTTGGGGTTTTGGGGTTTTGGGGTTTTGGGG